CCACAGAGCTGCTAGGCAGGGCTCCCTTCACATGGAGGTATGCACAGTCTAAAATACCAGGTGTCACTTTGTTGGGAGGGGGTGAGGCCTCTGTTTTTTGCTTGCTTGTTTGTTTTTGTTTTTGTTTTTGTTTTGAGACAGGGTTTCTCTGTGGAGCTCTGGAGCCTGTCCTGGCACTCGCTCTGTAGACCAGGCTGGCCTCGAACTCACAGAGATCCTCCCGCCTCTGCCTCTGCCTCTGCACCACCACCGCCTGGCAAGGGGTGGGGACTCTTTGAACACTGCAGGGGAATTGATAATGTGTGTCTGTGTCCACTACTAGGACAATTTTCTTTAAAAACAAAACAGCACAGGCTCTTGCCATGTAGCCCAGGCTGACCTTAAGTTTCTCACCCTCTTGCTGGGGCTTCCTGCGTGCTGGCATAAAACAATTTATATTTAATTTGGGTACTACTAAGGATTGAACTCAGAGCATCGTACATGATAGGCATGCAATTACTGAGTCCCCAGCCCCTCACTGGGGGATTCTAGGCAGGGGCTCTACCACTGAGCCACACCCCCAGCCCCTCACTGGGGGATTCTAGGCAGGGGCTCCACCAATGAGTCATGTCTCCAGCGCCATTAATCATTAACTGAAGAAATGCTAAGGAGCACTCTATGTTATACTCCACGAAAAAGTACAATAATTAATTGAAAAACAACTTGTAAGGAGATACGGACCTGAGCAGAAGCCACAGCTGAGCAGGCACTGGGAGTGTCTAAAGATCGAGTGTTCAACTTTTGAAAGTGTGTCAATTTAAAAAGATTATTTTGTTTTTAAGTCAAGGGAATCAGATGCCAGATAGACTCAGGCAGCTTTCAGAGGCTGAGGCAGGAGGACTGCCCTGAGTTCAAGGCCACCCTGGACTACAAAGCAGTGCTGTCTGGGCAAAATAAATATAGAGTGGGGCTGGCAAGGGTCCAGAGCTGTGGTGGGCTGGAGTGAATGAGGAAACACCAGCTGTCAGAGGAGGGAGTGCATGCGTGGGTCCCCCCCAACTCTGCCCCACTCCACTCACCGTGGACTTCCCAGGTCGGGGTGGGAGTGGTAGGCTGAACTTCTGGGTTGGTTTTATCTGGAACTGGGGTAAAAGCAGGGTCTGAGACAGAAGTGAGAAGGGAACAGCTGAGAGCTTCCGCAGGTGGAGACCGGAGAGTTTCCATAGCAACTGCATCTTTTTTTCAATGCCTATAAGAGTGCAAGGCGGCCAAGGCAATCCTAGGCAATCTCCACTGTCTTTCCTTTAAAGCCCTCCACCTTCTTTGAGACAGGCTCTCTCATTGGCTTGGAACCCTTCAGTAAACTTGGCTGGCAAGCCCTAGGGGTCCATCTGCCTCGACTCCCCACCTTGGGATTTGCAATCTTATGCCTGGCCTTGTATATGCATTCTGGGGATTGAACTTGAGTCCTGATGCTTGTGAGGCAAGCCCTTTACCGGATGCCTTCAGCTCCATTTTGAGGTGATGAGAGGCATTCAGGCCCTTTGATAGCAGGGTCTCCCCTGCCTCCAGACCTAAATTAGCAAGACTCAGAAGCTCTCCCTGAAAAAGGGGGTTTGACTCAGTTTCCCAAACCTCCCTACCACAAACCAGTGTCACCTGCTCTAATTAGAGCCTCTGGCTGGGCACTCAGGAGGTGAACAGGCCTTGGTGCATCCTCCTCCCAGGACATCAAATGGGGCAACTGAGATTTCCTTTCCCCCGGCTTTAGATTCCTCTCCACAAGAAGCACAGAGGACCCAGAGTCAGCGTTAGGTCCCTGACAGTAGTGTTTAAACACCTAGATCAAGCCATGCCTGCAACTCACTCCCTGATCTGTTTTTTCAGTTACACACACGTCAATTTCCCTGTTTGGTCCAAGTGTGGTGGTGTTGCTACCGGAAGTGAGAGTCGTACAGGCCTGCTTTGCTTTCCTTACCTGGGGCATGCGTATTCACAGAAGTCCCGCCCACTGTAGAACTGGACGTGGCCGTTTCTGG